ACAAAGTAGAGGGAGGTCTTCCTTTCTAAAATCCTTCTAGCAAACATCTATTGCATACTGTGAGCTTTTAAAAAATGGTGTAAAGGGGCATGTGAGAAATGAAGCTAACTTGGCAAAGAGTCAAAATAAAAATTGCCATGAGTTGATGACATTTCATAATTTTAAACTTGGCCTAATAGAAAAATAATTGAGATTTATCAGTACCTCTATGTGAAAGATCAAGAAAGGAAAAAAAAATGTATAGACATCAGTGTCTGAACAGTTCTGAGCTGATAATACAATTCCTCTGGTACTGTTAATATTATGTTTGGATCTTTCACTTGGATATGGATTTGGTCTTCACAAAATGGTTCTAGAACATTATTCACTCTAGAAAGAAGTATTTCCTTGCCTGATACTGATCAATACTGTATAGTTATTAGGATAAAGATGCATCAAATATTAAAAATCAATTAAATCACAGAAAACATGATATATAGTTCAAAAGGATTGCATGACATGTTGGCTCAGAATAAATTTCTGCTTTTGTTACTTTATGGATATGTCTTTTATAGTTAATTTAACTTGACAACTCAACATTTTTGCACCTGTCTCTTGCCTTTCATAATACAAAGAGAAATTTCTTACAATTTTTCTCTCCGCGTGGCAACAAATTGAAAATGCTATGTTTGTCAGAATCTAGATGTGGCACATATTGGATAGTACATAAATAGGTGGCCCTCAAGAACTTAAAAATGAAGAAAATTGCTTTATTAGACATCTACTCTTAATGAGCACAATTGCCAAATATTTGATTGGCAAATTCTCCTGCATATAAGACACTTTCTTAAGGCTTCAGAACCATAATGTAAATGTGCTATTTTCATGTACCTATCAGATCAGCCAAGAAATACAGAAAAGGAAAGTCATAGAAGATAGTTTGGTATTCTTAGCACACACAAAGGAAAGATGTAGAGGATAATGTTGGCAGTATCCATCTCAGCAGGTTTTGGATGAGAGGGAATCATAGAATCATATAAATTCTATAATATTTTGAGTACTCTGGTCCCTATGGCAAGACTATGTTCATAGTGATATGGCCACATCAACTTGAGAATAACAAACATTCATTTAACTCCCAAAGATTTTTATGTTCACATACCTTTTAATCAGATGCACCTTGATTACAGGAAGAGAACAAGCTCTTCATTCTTGATTATGGGTCTTCAACTTTCCGTGATAATTATTTTTCATTTTAAGTTAATAAATTCAGATTCCAATATCTCCTACTGTCTTCTGGGCAGTTGAAGTTTAATCAGTGTCACAGAATTCACACAAAAGAACAATTATTAGTGGCCTATCCCTAAGCCAATTTGCAAATACAAGTCTATCTATGGAATTCCACAATATTAGAAATAACAAAATTTCTGTGAACTAAATGAGAATTCACAGTTTACTAAGAATGAAAGAATCAAGGAACAGCTGCCATATGAGACATTATCTCTTTTGATAGGAGACATTCCTCTCTGTGTGTTCTCAATGTTATGGTTCGCAAATGGTATGTGTGTATGAGAGAGAAAGAGAAAGAGAAAAAGAATGAGAGAGAGAGAGACAGAGAGAGAGAGAGAGAGAGAGAGAGAGAGAGAGAGAGAGAGAGAGAGAGAGACTGGCTATGGATTTTTTTTTTGATGGCACACCTAGAAATCCAAATTAATATTTGTTCAAACATGTCACTACGGTAGCTCATATGATTGATATTGATAATGCACGTAGGAAATAAGGAACAGTAACAGCCATTTATTATAATTATTGAGTGCTATGTACTGTACATAATTGTATTGCTATTCTTGGATACAATAGGCAATGCAGTAGTTTTATTTACAACAGGATCACCATAAACACAAAAGTAACACATTGTGCTCTGACCTCACAACTGCAATGCCATTAGGCAATACGAATTTTCAGCTTCGTTATAATTTTATGGGACCACTGTTGAGAGCCACAGCCTAAGGAGCCCCAGCAAACTTTCAGACTGCCAGCTGATGATTGGCTCACAGCGGCCCCAGCAACATCTAGCTGATTGGCTCCTCTTCGGTGATGCTCATTGGACTGTTTCCCTGCCCTTTCAGACCACGGAGCTGCTCATTGGGGGACTTTTTTGGCTCCGCCCACGCGACCCAGCCAATCGGCCTCAAGAGCAGGAGGATTGTGGGAGAGAGAGGCTTGTGGGAAGCCTGGTGGTGGCAGTTGGGCTCTGAGGGTTTTTCCTGAGGAGCTGTTTTGTTTGGCGTGTGTGGTTCTAAAAATAAAGTTCGTTTCTTTTGACAAGTGGCTCCTGAGTCGAGCCCAGCCAGACTGCGACAGACCACTGTCATATATGTGGAATAAAGTTCACCAGGATATCATTGTGTGGCATTTAACTGTACTTAATCATGTGGTTTTCAAATTTTTTCCCCATTTTATTAAGTTGTTGAATATATAAGTGTATTGTTTTTGTAATGATTTTTTATTACCCTTCTCATTTCTGCACAATCTGTAGTGATATTTCTTCTCAAATTCCTGATATTGGGTAATTATGGTCCCCTCTATTTTTCTTTGTCGGTCTTGCTAAAAGTTCACCAATTTTATTTTCCTGGTTCTGGGTATTAAACCCAGGGCTTCATACATGTGAATGAAGCAAGTGCTCTACCACTGAGCTACACCCTCAACCCAAAGTTCATCAATTTTATTAATCTTTTCAAAATAGTTTTTATTTTAATTGATTTCATTATTCTTATGCTTTTCACTTCATCAATTTCTGGTCTTAAATTTGTTATTTTCTCATGCTTGCCTTCAATTATTTTGGTTTTTGTCTCTTGTGTTAGAAACTTGAATTTTTTCTCAAAACTTTTCCTATATAAGTATTTATTACTATAAATTTCTCACTAAGCACTACTGTGACCCATAGATTTCGATACATTGGATTTTCATTTTTATTTAGCTCAATATTTTTTGTTCCTCTTGAGAATTATTTTTTGACAGATTATTTAGAAGTTTCTTTTAATTTCCAACTGGTAGAAGATATTCCTGATATTGTACTGATTTTTGAGTTTAATTCCTTTAAAGGCAGAGAATATATTTTACAGAATTTCAATTTATTAACATTTGTTGAAGTTATTGTATGACCAATCTCTCCTGGTAAATGTGCTCTTCAAAACAATGCGTATTTTACTGTTATTGGGTGGAATATGTCATAAATGTCAACCAAATTCAGTTTGTTGATAGGATTCAGATTTTCTCTGTCAATTTTCTGACAATGAGGTCTGTTCTACTGAGAGGGAAGTTTGGAAGTCCCCTTTGCTATCTTTAGTAACAGAACTTCAAAATCATAGCTGGGCGTTCTGATGCCTTGTTAGAGGTCATGTTCCTTAGCGTCTTTAAAGCTGAGTAAGATTTTGTGATTGAGTTCTGGCAATGAGATGTGAGCTGAAAGGATGCATGTCATTTCCTAGTCATGCTAAAAAAGATTAAAACTATTTAACTCTTACCCTTTCCTGCTCATGCTGGAGAATAAGAAAAGTCACAGCAGAAACATCTTCATCCCCCACTGCCGCAGTCTGGCTGGGCACAATTCAGGAGCCACTTGTCAAAAGAAATGAACTTTATTTTTAGAACCACACATGCCAAACAAAACAGCTCCTCAGGAAAAACCCTCAGAGCCCAACTGCCACCACCGGCTTCCCACAAGCCTCTCCCACAACCACAAGCCTCTCTCCCTCCCACAATCCTCCTGCTCTTGAGGCCGATTGGCTGGGTCGCGTGGGCGGAGCCAAAAAAGTCCCCCAATGAGCAGCTCCGTGGTCTGAAAGGGCAGGGAAACAGCCCAATGAACATCACCACAGAGGAGCCAATCAGCTAGATGTTGCTGGGGCTGCTGTGAGCCAATCATCAGCTGGCAGTCTGAAAGTTTGCTGGGGCCCCTTCGGCTGTGGCTCTCAACACCCCACGTGAAAACCATGTTGAAGATGGCAGAATAGGCCAGCTCTGCCCACCACTGAACCATTATGTGACAGAGGAAATGTTTATCTAGTTTTAAGCCACTCAATTTTTAGGAGTTTTGTCTGTTATTTAATTTATACACTACCAGATATCAAAATTAGAAGTATATTAGATTTACCTATTTGATAATGAATTGAAAAAAATCAAAACTTTCAGTGAAAAAAAGGAAGTTGCTGAATGATTTATATGGAATGCTATCATGTATTTAAGTCTGATAATGTGAAAAATAAAATTACATGTTGTTTATGTATAAACAATAGAGTCATAAAAAATAAATGACAGAGAGGCTGGGGTTGTAGCTCAGTGGTAGAACACCTGACTCGCACATGTGAGGCACTGAGTTCAAGCCTCAGCACCACATAAAAATAAATAAATAAAGATATTGTATCCATGTACAACTAAATATTTTTTAAAAATGAATGACAGAAATGACAAATTGAGGTTGAGATACAGTTAGGGAATTTGGGAAAGAGATGAGATCAAGAAAACTATTATCAAGGGATTTTATTCTACTATTTTATTTAGTTTTAAAAATACTGAAGCAAATATTACAAATTTTATAATTTAACAAAACTGGTGATAAACATGTATAATCATGATAAATTTCTTCAAATTTTCATAAACACTTGAAATATTTAAATTTAAAAATTAAAAATAAAAGTCATGATAGTGGAAGTGATATTTTCCTCGAAGGATATATAGGATTTATGCAGTCATGCTTTGTGAAACTTAATAATTTCCCACTACTACTTTAAAAAAAATTATCACAGTTTACACTGGGTGTGGTGACACACACCTGTAATCCCAGTGGCTTGGGAAGCTGAGACAGGAGGTTCATGGGTTCAGAGCCAGCCTTAGCAACCATGAGATGCTAAGCAACTCAGTGAGAACTCTATCTCTAAATTAAATACAAAATAGGGCTGGGGATATGGCTCGTTGATTGAGTGTCCCTGAGTTCAATCCCCAGCACTCCCCCCCAAAAAAATTATCACAACTTAATAGTTCAAAACAATACAAAATTATTATTTATAATTTCAGAGTTCAGAAATCCAAAATAGATGTCACTGAGCTAAAATCAAGATGTCAGCAGGGCTGTGGTCCTTCCTGTAGATTCTAGGAAAGAATCTACTCCAGCTCATGGTTCCCTTAGATCTTCAAATCTAGCCGTGGCTGTTATATCTTTATTATGATGTCATATGTCTGGTTTTGAGTCATCCGTTTCTTTCTTTCCATTCAAGTGTTGTATGATTATACTGGGGCCACCTTGATAATCCAGGATAGCCTCTTTTCCTTCACTTCAGCTGATTAGTGACTTAAATTTCATCTGCAACCTTAATTCTCTCTTGTTTTGTAGTAAAACATGTTACAGGTTTTGGGGATCAGGATGTAAACATCTTTGGAGAGTCATTATTCTGCCTACCACAGGACCCACTGGCTCTTGGTTTACAAGCAATAGAAATTGTCTCTAGATTGGGTTTTTATTAGAGGAAAAAAAATTACAGAAAACCTAATTAGTTTTATATCCAAAAAGATTGTGAGATCTGGGTATCTAAAAGTAGGCAATAATTGGCAATCTCTTAATAAGCACTACTATCTTGATGAATCGGCTCCAACAACTTTTTGTTATTATGCTATTGAAAATTCAACCAGGGAAAGATAAAATATAACTGGCTTTTCTTGAGTAACACAGTCACTTCTTAACTATAGGTAGGATAAGCACCTTAGAAGAACTCACCAATGGGAAAAGGTGCTTTTTTGCAATGGGATAAGGTTCTTCCTCAATGAAAATTCAAAGTATCATATCATAAGAAGAGAACATATGTAATAGGCAGGCAAAGCCAGAGATTTTCACTGTACTAGAAAATCACAATTTGTCTGATAAGAGCAGTGTCACTTAGCTTGTACTGGAATCCTAATAAATCTTTGTTTTAGTCAGTTTTGCATTGCCATGAACAAAATACCTGGCCAAAACAACTTAAAGGAAGTAAAGTTTATTTGAAGCTCACAGTTTCGGTGTTCAGTCTGTAGTGGACCAAGTCCATTGCTCTGGTGAGGCTGAGCATCATGGTTGAAGGGCCCAGCAGAAGATGGGGGTCTGGGGAAGTTGCTCAACTCTTGCTGGGGTCAAGAAGCTGAGAAAGGGGAAAAGGTCTACGGGGAAAATGAACCCTTTGAGGGCATGACCCCAATGACACACTTCCTGGAGCCATATCCCGCCTCCCCACAGTTAGCACCCAGTCAGTCCATTCAAACTAAGATGGACTGATTAGGTCACAGCTCTCACAGTCCAATCACTTCACCTTGGAACAGTATGCATTAGTGCAGGAATTTTAGGGGAACATATCATATCCAAATCATAACAATTGTATAATTTGTGAACAAGCTTAGTTTTGCTGGCATGAACATGTAAATAACCTTCACAGGATAACCACTGGAAAGTAGGCATTGTTGTGTAGAACTCTCCCTGAATGCCCAAGGGAAAGATTTTGCCCAAAGTCACAAGGAAATGGACAAACATCAAATGTTTCAGGATAGAGGAAAAACACAGTTGGAATGGTTGTTCAGGAAACTCAGGTAAATGGCTTTATTAGCAAATGGACAAGGAAGGGGTCATATTCTCTAGTAACTAACAATAAATCTTACCCAGCTATCTCCACTTTCTCTTATTAGATACTGAACTTCTGGTTAGTGACAGACTAGTCTGCTTTCCTAGAGATCAATGATTTCTTCGATCTTTGGAAAAGGAAGTAAGATTTAAGGCTTTCTGTGATGACATGTCTGTGTCAGCCCTCCACATAATCAGCATAAGCTCACATAATAACCACAGAAACAAGCACATGCAAAAGTCTCACTCTACTCTCTTCATTTTTGTCTGTCAGACCCCATAATTTTCTCTCATTGTTCTTTCTTATCCACTAGGCATTTCCCCAATTATTCAATGAAGGAATTATACATTCATCCTAGCCACATTCTTAATTAGTATGTTCCACATAAAATTGCTAGGTGATTTTCAAAGAAAGTAACCCAAAAAAATCACACATTCGAAGGGTGATCTTTAGTCTTCACAAAGACAAATGACTAAAGTAAGTCTTTTGAAGGTCATAAATATTTACAACTTACATATGCACCAGACAGATAAAAAGAATTCCTGGTCAGAACTACTCCTCAGCAGGAATCCTGGAAGCAATGTGAAACCCAAGCTGTGAATCTGAAAAGGAATGTAAAGTATTAAAATGTACTATCAATGTACCATCACCATTGCCTAGAAATATTTTCCCCTTGCTTCTGAAACATCATCCATTTTTATCTGGATTATAACAGCTCCTCTTCTGTCTCCCTTCCTTTGCTGGCCAGTGGAATAGATGAGTCATTTCACCATCTGGGCTAAAGGAAAGGGAGATGTATGGCTGAATAAAGCTGAATATTATCTGCATAATGATGGCCCTGTAGTCCAAAATATCTCTCTTTTTCAGTGTCCTCATCTACACTTAGTCTCTCTCCAAAACAAAATTAGGGGGTGTTCTACAAAAGCAATTTCTGGCTACTTATTCCCATGTCTAAGTCAACATTTTCAAACTTTTGGCAATAGCAACTCCTGGCGATACTGACTTTTCAAAGGTTTGGTAATGTCTAAAAAGGTTGGATTAAAATAATTTAGCAAAATATATAGCACCATATGTTTTTTTAAGTGCCATTCAAAATCCTAAATAACACCAATCCCTGAAGACAAACTCAATACTTGAAAAAGTAAAGCTTGTAGGTAGAATTAGTGTTGCTCAAATACTGTAAGTTTTCAAAATATTTGTGTGTATACATACACACGTAAATTCTGATAAATATTAGGAAATCATGAAGTTAGACATTTATCTAAAATATATAAAAATATAGACTGTATGTAGAATAAATATAAGCTTCTAGGAATATGAGACCTCTATTTAAAATGTTACAGTATAGATAATTCTTGCTTAGCCAAGATTAGAGTTGTTTTATAAAGAATTGATGAAAAGCTGGGAATTGTGGCGCATGCCTGTAATCCCAGTGGTTCAGGAGGCTGAGGCAGGAGATGTTAAGTTCAAAGCCAGGCTCAGTAAAAGTGAGGTGCAAAGCAACTAAGTGAAATCCTGTCTCTAAATAAAATACAAAATAGGATGGGGATGTGGCTCAGTGGTTGAGTGCCCCTGAGTTCAATCTTCAGTACCAAAAAAAAAATGAGAGCTATGATTCATTCTTTTATATTGTTATTCTTTGTGTATATATATATATGTATACATACACAGATATGTGTGTATGTATACATATATATATATATGCTACATATATATCTAATGTTCTATTTTCAATTTTTAAAATACCCTTAAGTTATTTGAAGAAATAAGCCTTACTAATAAAATAATAGCCTTAGTGTTACATGCTAAGAGTGACATTGACAAGCATTGTTAAGGAAGGTGACAAAGGCTACAATGAGTCTAGCATCAAGTTATGATATAATAAGAAATAAATATTTTTGTTTTTTATGTTCATTTCATATCAAACAGTTCCTAAAACCTTATACTTTTCTAAGCAATAGGGGTTGTTTTACTATTTGGTCTTTTACCATGATTCCTGACCTAAAGCTCTTAAATCCCTTAGAACCTCACAAGTGACAGGAGCATCTTTTGTTCTAATGAGGTATTTTCTGATGAGCTCCTGCATAGCTTTAGTATAGGGGCTAATAAAACAAACTATGATTAGTAGTTTGGAACTTTCAGCCTCACCCCATTCTCCACTGAGAGGTGCTATATATTGAGTTAAGGATTGATCATTTCTATGTGATGAAGCCTCCATAACAATCCCTAAAGTAGAAAGTTAAAAAGCTTCTAATTCATAAAAACATCCATATGCTAGGAAAGTGGTGAATGCCAACTTTACAGGAATTCAACCTCTTGCATTCAGGAATCTACTGAATCTTTCACATGTACCTCTCTATCTGGCTGTTCATCTGTATCCTTTATCATATCTCTCATAATAAACCAGTTTCCCTGAGTTCTGTGAGCAATCATAGAAAATTCTCAAACCTAAAAAGAAAAAAAGAGAGAGGTTTGTGAGAACGCTTATGTGCAACCAAGCAGGACAGAAATGTGGGTAACGTGGGGACTTACTAATTGTGATTGACATCTAAAGTTGGAAGTACTCTTGTAGGGCTGTGAGATCTGACACTAACTCCAAGTAGATAGTATCAGACTTGAACTGCATGGTAAGACACCCCGCTTGTGTTGGAGAATTCACCAATGTAGAAAAAACCCATACACATTTTGTTGAAAGTATTGTGTGTAGTGGAAGAAATAATTTGTTTTCCAATTCAATTTCCTATGCAAGTTATATAAGGTTTAGTTGAGAGAACTGATAATGTTCAGTACCAAAAACATGATGTAAGTACACATAGAGTCTCCGAATTTTAGAGATGAAAGGGATCTTTATAAAGTAGACCAAATATTTCATTTTGCAAAGAGAGTAATATGGTAACTTCTGAAGTATGGAATTAGTGGAAGAATCATATTACAACTGAAAAGTCAGTTCTGTGTTCTTTTTCCAATATCATTCTACATTTCCATGGCAGCTGACTCCTAATTTTGGAAATGAAATCATCATCATCATTAATCAGTGATCATTGTCACTAATTACTGTATGCTCACTATGTTCTGGTTACTGAGCTAACCACTAATTATTTCATTATTCTTCACAGTAACTCTTGAGTAGGGGCTGTTATGAACCTTGTTTTCCAGGTATAGAAAACAAGGATCAGGTCACCCAGTTAGTAAGAAACAAATATGGGATCCAGACAAAACATTTAACTACTGTGCTTTAGTCTGAATAATAAGAGCCATCAGATATGGAACTCATGGGTGGATGTTGTAAGAAGGAAGATTGCATCTTATCTGAGGAGTAAATTTCTGACATTCCATTTTTAACAATTCACAGAGTTGAAGTGAAACCTTATTTCAATGAGCCTCACAAACATTGCTAAATATTGAATGGATCTCGGGAAAGAATCTGCACACTGAGTAAGAAGATAAACATCAATATCAACTCTTCCTTCTGATTCTTCAGATTTTTAATCTTCGTTAATCAGTAGACAAAGTCTTATGTATCTCACAGTCTATTTGTCTCTACATTTTTTCAATTACTACAATTAGAGTATATATTTTAAAAGTACTAAACATTCACATTTTAAAAAGTCATGTTAAATGTTTGTTCTTATATTGGCTAGGTGTTTTGCTGGTACACCTGCTATTTCTTTTGGTTACCTGGAATCTGAACTTATTTTATTTTGAGGAATTCGCTATCATACAAATCTTAGGCAGAGGCCGAGCTGCCCATTATAGTAGCAGAAAATGTCAGCTACCTAATTCCTACTCTTACTGGCACATGAATTAGGCTCTGGTAAACAGATACCCCTTCCAGGGACTCTGGCGACCCTGGTGAGATAAAGAAGCATGGTCAGGGAAAGATTTACTTTGACAGCAGCAGCAGCCAACTCTGAGTGGTCAAGTTGCCAAGAGTACCACCCTATGTTGGAGCAGTGTGTGTCAGCTGGTGCTCAGTGAAATGACAGCAGTGTCCTTGCTAGCCTGGTTATGTGGCATGCCTCAGGCTAGGATTTCAATAGCCAGCCTCCCCTTGCACCTGCTAGTTTCCCAAGTCTGCTTTTCTAGTCTTCTGGGAGCTACCTACTATCTTTTCAATTCTTTTCTTTTCTTCTTTAATTAGCCAGTTTGGGTTAATTACAATCCTAACCATTGATAAGGAAACAGGATTAGTTACTTGCAGTTTGATGTCATCCTCTTACAAGTATGAGATTCATTAGAAGTTAAATGAATCTCTGTTTACAATGTTCGGTTCTAGCAGTCTTGAAGAAGTACCTGGGCATGTAACCTAGGGAATGTCTGCTAGGCTTGAATAATCTATTTGTCAGAGAGTGTTCAAAACAGCATGTTATTGCCTCTTCTTCCTGGACCTATAGTAAAATAGTATTTTAAATGTAAAAGTATAAGTCCTCAATGACAAAGGCAATGGGAATATATCAGCATCTGACACATTTCAGCAAATTTTTAAAGAACAGTTCTGAGGAGTATAACTAATGATAGAAAAAGCTAAAAATTCAAGGATTCTCAGGAAGAGTTACAGATAACGTGAAAAACTAGTGAATTTAAACTTATCCTAGACATATGTAGGATTTTAGAATGGTAGGTATTAGTACAAAAGACAAAAAAGATACAAAAGTATAAAAGACAAAAGATAAAGTACTGAAAACAGAAGATATCTTTGTATTAGAATAGGACAATATACACATTGAATCATATAATTTTAAATTTTCAAATAGCAAATTAAAACAAGTAAAAAGATGAAGTTTAATATATTTCATCTAACATAATATATTAACATTTTAATCAATATAAAATTTGTTAGTGAGCTTTTTATATAGTGTGTGTGTGTTTGTATGTGTGCGTGCGTGCACGCATGCACTAATCTTTAAAATTTGGGTTGGATTTCATATTCCCATGCATCTTGAAATGTGCCACATTTTAAGTGCTCAGTAGTCATACATGGCTGCTGGCTACTATATTGGCCAACAGAACTCTATATGATATTCTGTGCAGAAAAAAATTTAAAAACCCAGGTGTCTGTTCTCCCTTATAGAAAAGTTAAAAATGTTTTGTTTATATATATATATGTATATATACATATATATGTATGTACATATATATGTATATATATGTGTATATATGTAATCTTAATGGCCCTGCAACAAAATTACAAATTTCCAACATTCATTGTTTCCCCAGAAGAGTTAGCTGTCCTTAAATTGAAACTGTTAATCAACAAACTCAGTCATAGAACTCCCAATTAGTTATTTTCAAATTAGAACACAAGCCCGAAGTATTGCAAATATAGCAGAGAAATATTTCAATAAGAAGGAGAACTATTAAAGTTGAAAATACTGTGACACTGAAGAAAATAGAGTTCAAAGAACAGAAGGGAACTTTTAACAACAACAACAAAAAAAAACCCTTATTTGGTATTTTGGAGGTATTCAAACAATATTCTGTCCATAAAATGAGTATAAAATGAAAAGGAAGAAATCATAGAAATTAAAAGTATCATGGTTGAAAAAAAAAATAATTCAATAGAAGGAAATAAAGTTCAAACACTCTCCTGGAAATTTAGACAAAAAAAAAAAGAAAGAAAGAAAGAAAGAAAGAAAGGGTGTAGAAAAATATTGAATGATATCTAGAGAATAAAGAAAAAGAGAAGGGAGAATCAATGTAATGATATAGAAAAATTTCCCTGGGAACAAAATTTTAAGTCTTTATAAAGAAAGATCTACCCAATGCCTAGCACACAAATAAAACTGACACACGAAGGAGAAATTGTTGTAAAGTTTTCAAGCACAAACTAGAGAAAGTGCTAAAAGTCTGGGGGGGAAGAGAGTAGTGTTACCTGCTCTATCATTTAGAATCTGTTGTAGAGATTCACTGTAGCAAATTTAAGCATCAAAGAGATTTCTATCTGTTATCCAATGGCTCTCACTACTGGTGGGTAGGCTGACAAAATAGGCTCTAATTTGAGCTTCCAATAATTACCTGCATATCACACTGCAAAACTGGGCCACAGAAAGAACATTTGCCCTCACCCTGATCAGGAAAATACCACCTAGATCTGCTTGACATTTCAGGGAAACCATCACTGCAGTTTCCAGCTTCCCAGCACCACACCATATCCAGCATAAGCTACACAAACAAAATGGATGACCCATTCCCTAACTCCACACTGCCACAGAACTCAAGACCACACAATGAAATCTCTGTCACAGAGAATTGTTACCAATGAGAATGGGTAACTCTGACTTACAACATCCCTTTTCCCTTCTAAATTTCATATGAATGTATCAATTAGCAGAACCTAACCTGGTAGCTCCAGTAACAAAGGTATCTAGGAAGCAGAGTTCTTAGTTTTCTAGTACCTCCAGCATAGGAAATTGTGTTAGAAAGTTATGAAGGTCAAAGAAGCCAATCCATAGTCCCTATTTTAATACAATGATCTTTCTATTCTTAAACTTTTACACAGCAGTTTTCAGGTAATGGCTTAAACTCTACAAAAGGAGAGAAAATCTTTGCAGTTACTGTTCCCATGTCTCAACACAGAATTGATGTAGTGAAGTTGTGGTCTTTCAAAGACTAGCTTGCATTAGAATCACCTGGGGAGCAGGTGAGTTCATTAAACAGGTAACTGGGCCCTATTTTGTTTCTGATTTAAATGGAATGAAATACAGCCCCAAATTTGTATTTATAACAATTCCTAGGTTGTGCAGATGCTATTTTTTCATGGCAACAGTTTCAAAACCACAGCTTAAATCTATAGAATAATTATGTTACTAGCTATAATTGGTATTTATAACCTTTTTCTGACAATTTCACCTTCCTGTCTGTCACTAAACAGTATTCAGCTTTTAGCTCTTTGGTGATGATTATCAAAAAAACTGGGAACATTGAGTTGTAGATGGCTGCACCTCTCCAACACAGGGTCATTGAATTACAGCAGAAAGCAGAACCTCTCTCCAAAGCTCCCTCTCTCCCACCAGTAGGTGAATATTATCTATTCATGAAATAGACTTCTATTGGGTTAAACCATAACAGTTTAGCCTTCATCTGTTACATGAACTAATGTTGCTTAATGAAAACAAGATTTCTTATAATAAAATATTGAAATATGTGGCACTGGCTTAAGAGTTGCTTAGTGGATAGTGAAGCTAAGTGCTAAAATGATAGAAATACATGCTATGCAGTCTCAAAGCATTTGGTTAAAAAATTGCTATCACTGTGGCAATTTGGGAAGCAGGTATAGTGCCTGTTGAGTTTATAATTCAAAGGAAAAAGATTTTATAATAGAATATTACAGTTCCTAACTGGTTAGCAAAGAATAAGATGAAAGAGAGAAATACAGGCAAGAAATGGCTGTCTGAAAATAGAAATGAAACAAATTTCAGAAATTTGGAACTGCAAATGACTAGGAATAT